ACTTACCAGCGACAGTTCACATTAAGCAAGTTCTGTTCCTACGAATGTATGACAAAAGTTTAACCAGCTTGGAAAAATATTTGTCTATCGGAAGTTCTATCCTAGGTAGATATCGACTGATAAGAACCACATATTGTACAGAGCATAAAGGAAGTAGATGCTAAATCCTTGCTGAGTAGAATGAGATGAAAAATTAGGCAGCGTTTCATGTATCAAAAGTTTCATATATAGAGAAATATACGTATTATGTGCATACTATGGGGNGTCATCCATTCGCCTTGAAATACCATTGGTTGAGCAGGGACCAATAGAAATCAAGTTATAGGAAAAACGACTTTCTTAGGGTAAATCAAGGCGAAGAGTCCAAATCTGAGCTATATTCATCCCTAAATCTTATTGGTTGAGAGTAGCCAATAGAAATCAAGTATTTTATAGAAAAGGTTTGCCCGGATAATGTTGATGTCCACACATTCTAGGATGACTCATCTGTCTCATTCACTTTTTGAAGTACAAATAACTCTCGGATTTAAATCCGAGGTTTTCACATTTATTTTCTTTCTTTTTGTAAGAGTTTATAAGAGCAAGTGCTGATAAAGTTATGGTAAATGATTTGAAGTAAATAATAGCGAAAAAAATTCGAGTAAATATCTATAAAAATCAGTACAAACTGTTTGTGGTATCGAAAAAAGTGTGTGGTATGGGTGTGGATGTTGTACTCTGTCACACGTACCCACATCCAAATTTTTTCCAATTGGAGCTTCCAAAAAAAAACTATTCCGAAGCCTCACCTGGATTTTTCCTTTGCTGTTAGTAGTATTCCATTTTTCAGAATCTAATAGTAAGCTACATTGAGTTTCATCGATAGATTTCAAGTTGTATCTAAAAATATGCATCCGTTCACGAGTTACAACGTTTTGAATTGTTGATTAAATCCCAGCGGCATGTAGCGAAAACTCAAAACGTTATAACTCGTGCACGGATACATATTTATAGATGAAATTTGAAATTTATCGATGAAACTCTATGTAGCTTACTGTTAGATTCTAAAAAAATGGAATACTACCAACAGCAAAAGAAAAATTCAGGTGAGGTTGAGGAAAAGTTTTTTTTTCGTAAACACGGATGGGAAAAAGTTTTTGATGAAAAGTCATTATTTGAGTCCGATATCATCCTCTATAACTTTCATCTTGGTCCCATGCTCTGAGTCTTAGATTCAGCATATACAAAAATCCTTCTACCCGTGGTGTGTGGCCGTGACTCTTCTCTTCACCTACACTCACATACACTCACACCGATACCGACAACCACATCCTACACCCGCCCACCCACACCCACACCCTTGTAAAGAACGAAAAACATTTCTTATGAAAGATATTAATATTATTACTCAACACTAACCATGTCTTAACACAGACAACACCTGTATGCAGATATGAGATACACGGCCGAAAAGGTTGAGTCATTACTAAATGTAAATCTCTCATCGTTCTCAGATAACTTTACTCTTTTACGTGTAATACATGGATGTATTGTTGCTAGCGAAAGATATGTGTTGTTTTGCTTGCGTTTTCTCTTCTTTTATTTATGAAAATGCATGTAAATAAGTTAATCAAGATCGAAGAAAAAAGTAATCGATAAGTAAGATGATGTTATAGAACATATCATACGGACAAAGAAATGATCAAAGAAAACACAAAAGAATAGAAAGAATTGAGGCTTAGTAATGCGCTATAACAACTCTACATTAAGAGCGTCTCAGAAATGTCCAGTGTATGTAATCTCCTGACTACCGCACCCTGTAAATTGTCCGGTAAACGAATAGGTATCATTGCTTACTGTTTGATTTGTACCTTGTAATTGAAACTGTGCTTCAGTATAGTACGGAAAGCCAGCCCATTGAATTGTTTGTCCGTTGATAATACGCCACATATAAAGAATTGCTGAGCTCGTATTTTGATACGTTTGATTGATCGTATCAATCCAAAATGTGTTATATTGTCCTGCAAAAGTCGCACCAACTGTTGTTTGAACTGCTATTACAACAGTGATATTCGAGAGGGATTGAGTACAGTTGAAATTAAGACGTTCCAGGCCATAGTAACTCGATGTTAACAATGAATATGTTGAAAAAGCACATCTGTACGTTATACATTCATCTAAAAATGATTCGTAACGTACGAAATAAAAAGCAAAGAGGTTATTTCTCTTGGTGAAACGCAGAACCATCTAAACTACTACGCTATGTACATAACGCTCGATACGCGTACGACATCATAGAAGTCATATGTCGTACGCGTTACGTCACCTTCCACGTAGAAAAAAAGAAAAACAAATCTGATTTTAATCGACCTTTCCATGGTTAAAAATCGAATAAACTGGCACGGTTTTATCTTATTTTATACAGATTTTAATCACAAAACGATTGATTTCAAGCGATTTTTTTGTAATGAAAAATCGAATAAATTCTAAGTCTATTATAATCTTTTTTCATCCTTTTCTCACATCTTGTATTGCTTTAATCAGTTCTAATCTATTAGTTATATATTCACCATTTTAACTCATTATGGCCTGCTTATCAATTATTACGCCTTGACCGATGTTAATCTATTCTAATCTTTTAACCGATTCTAATCATATATATCAAAGATAAGCGCTTTTCGCAAGACTCAAATACAAAACCTTAGATTTTTCGTGATTTTTAAAAATTTTTCATATTTATATTCCATGCTGTTGCCACTAACGAGGGAACATATTTGAGTGTCCCCCTTGAGAAGAAGTTCAAAAGTGTTTTATGTGTTAGGGTCCTCGATGTATATCTCGAGTATCAATATCTTAGCTGTCCCAGTTTAGGACTCGAAAAACTAACGTATCAAACTTTTTCATTTTTAGGTGCTTTTGACTAGTAGATGCTTCCCGTTCTCCTCCACTTTGTGTTAAATTTACAAGAAAAAGCAGTTTTCGTTGGAAGACAACAAGTTGAAATGTATGCAAGTCGATATGGAAGATCCATCCCGTTATCACTGGTAAACATATCACGTCGATTTTTCTTTAGCAAATACTCCTCTGACAGATTACTTATCTTTTTCGATAACATAGGAATGCTGTAGATACAGATACCTAAGTAGAAAAACTAGATATGATAGGTTCACCAGCGATAACGGGATGGATCCTCCATATCGACTTGTATACATTTCAAGTTGTTGTCTCCCAACGAAAACTGCCTTTTCTTGTAAATTTAACACAAAATGAAGGAGAACGGGACGCATCTACTAGTCAAAAGCGCCTAAAAATGAAAAAGTTTGATACACTAGTTTTTCGAGTCCTAAACGGGGGCAGCTAAGATATTGATACTCAAGATATACATCGAGGACCCTAACACATAAAACACTTTTGAACTCCTTCTCAGGGGGGGGGGACACTCAAATATGTTCCCTCGTAAGCTAAACTCAGGTAAGTAGAACACAGTTGGAACTGCTACGTAAATTGTTTCAAATTGAGTTAGTGCAATTAAAATGGCAATCAATTAAAATTAAGAACTCAATTAAAATATGTCAAAATAAAAAAATGGGTAAGCATAAAACCAGTAAGATTGACTATCTTGATTTCAACAGCAAATATCGATTAATTTTTGTGATTTAAAAAAATCTATTTTAATTCGACTTTCAGCCGTTTTTTTACATGGGCTCTATATGTTCGTCATGATTACCTCGATGTATCACTGAATGTAGGCTTTACCGGTTTCTTTTGTTGTTTTGGAACAAAATTAGAACTAGTCAGTATTTTATCTATTTTATATTACTGTAGTTCAGAATCAAGTTGTAATTGATCAGTAGGTCATTTTCTAAAGTTTTCAGCTGAAAATAATGCCGATCTTTTAAAGCCTTTTTCCTAGAATTTTGTTTTTACTCATAGAAGCTTCTCCAGATCTATCAATTCGCACAAGTTCTAGTATTTTTTCCAGTATTCTATTGGTGGATTTGTCAAATTCAAGTATCGATAACGCCAATGAATAAATAAAAGAAAGCAACAAAAATCTGACTTATAATTAAAGATGTGAGCCTCCAAACAAAACCGCCGCTGCCGCTGAGCGTTTTGAAAAATAAGCCACCGCCACCACTGAATCGCAGAGAATTGTCAGAATTTTTCAGCCGCCGCGGCTGTAAAAAAATCAGTTAAGCTATTGTGCTGCTGCCACGAACGAAAGTTTCTGGTAATAGCATATGCCACAACCACCACTTACGTCGATACATATGCGATCGACCAGTTTTCGATCTTTCAAGAACAAAAATTTATTTTGTTTTGGTTAATACTCAGCCGCCGCCGTCTCTGCACAAGAACAATATTTCCAGTAACCGCCCCCAAGACGAAAAACGAATTTAACGATTGAAGCCGCTGCTGAATAGCATTGAAAACTGAAGCATCAGTCGTTGAGTACTGCGAAAAGTTGAAAATCTTCGGCAGTCGCCGCTGCTTAATCCTTCGGCTTACACCTCTACTTACAATCTTATATCGTACAAGATATTTTTGAGTTTTTATAATTAGACTTTTTTGAAACTGAAGGAAGCATTGCATTTACGTTTCTTTCGAAATCTCAAGTATGATTTGTCGAGGGACGGATATTTTGCCACAAATGGGTACAAATTTCAAAAGATACTTGTCAAGGCGTGGAGAAGAGAGAAATGACATAAGCTTTCTGAGTTTAAGTGCATTAATATCTTTCGGTGATCATGAAATCAAGTGATTAGAGTTTGCTACATGAACTATCGCTCGCTTTTGAGTTTAGAGAAATATTTAAAAACCAATCATACGTGAAGTGTTAGTCGAGGAGTTGCTAGTAGATCTTGATCCCAAAGCACCGCCGAGAGTGGCTGCCAGTACGATCACAACCATCAGTAAGCTGATTGAAATGAAGAATCTCTTTTTGTTATACCAGTGACGTTCTGAAGTGAGTGTCGAAATTTTTGGATAAAGACATGCATCTAAATATATACATATTTAATTCAAAACAAAACATTGTAGAAGTTGAGAATACCTTCAAATGGAGGTTCGAGTAATATTTCCTCCGGTATCTTCTGTTTTAAATGAATGATATGAAGATCAGATGCAGGAACAAATTGTGATTGCACTTCCATGCATGTTCCTGGTAACATTAAAATTTCATCTTCGGTGTCAAAATCGGAATGAGCACGTATGCTTCTGCCGTTGAACAGTTCAATGGAAAAGAGAGTTCTCTCACCCTTGCTCCCTAAATAGAGATCGTTTTCTAACACAGGAAGTGATGTTGTGCACGATGAAAAAGCCCACCATATCACTTGACTTGCAGGTGGATATTCATCACTAATGTTTTTTCGCACTCCACGCCAGACAGTCTGAGCAGGCGCACATTCTATTTTGGCTAAAGCAGTAAGAAACAGTTTGAGGTATTTTAACCATGGTCGTAAATCTTCGCGATCAGCTGTCTTGAGAGTTTTGTTAAGAATGGAATAGAGACTTTTGTATTCGTCAGTCCACTCCATCGTGTAGAGACGAATCGAAGCTGATTCATCGCGACTTAGACCATCGGTTGGATTATCCGGAGTATTTTTCAGAGCACCCGTAACATAGTCTAATATATGATTGACAACTGAAACCAACGGTTCACATGCTTCAGCGAGTGAAACAAGTGGCTCTTGAGCATAACCAATAATAGGAGCTAATGTTTTTGAATCTTCTGAATCTTCAATCATTAGTCGAGCATTTCTACGTGGATTGCGTAATTCACTGATGTCACTCATCCTCTGAAAATGTGGTTCTGTTGTCGAATATTTGAATATATTAGTCATTCTGCAGATATTTTTGTTATCTGGAACAAAACAAAAATATAGACGAAGGGAAAGAAATTAATAGTTAGTCAGAAATTGTTCTTGTAGTATATCCGAAATGTGAAACTCACATATCTCTTTCAGCTTCATTAAACTAATAAAAACAACGTACAGTGAAGAAGCTGTAATTGACGATAGTTGCTCTCCCCAGATAAAAAAAGCCGATAAAATGCTTTATCTTATGTATTACTATATGTCGAACAAATCTTTTCATGTTTTCTTGGTCGCCGTTGTGGCTGTTATTGGGTCAAAAACGTGACCTCGACGCGTATGTTCTAAATATCTAGGTTATTTACATATCCACATTTTACCAGTCATTTCAAATGCATGTTTTATTATTTATCACGACCAGGTCCCTTCGAAATGTGACCATACGATGTTACCATTATGTATTTTTTAACAAGGAAACATTCCCAAGTATCCGAGCACATTTCAATCGCGAGTTAGTGCATCTTGTAGACCTTAGTGCATTATGTCTACCCCAGAAAAAGTTCGTGTTTATGGCTTATTTCTAAGCAGATCGTACGTTCTTACTTTGATAGGTATAATAGACATCTTATCAGAAAAATCACAATTTCAGTCAGCATAAGTTGAAACGAGTTGAAAGTTTTCTTACTTGAGGGTATGGGTGTGGATGTGTGGCTGTTTGTGAGTGTGTGAGTGTCGGTGGGTGTTGATGGGTGTGACAGAGTACAACATCCACACTTAAACTCACACCCTATCCTAATTCAAGGCAGATCATTAAGTTCGGCAAGGTCCTTTTATCCTATGTCGTCCATATTTACAGTGAACGAATAATCATAAAAATTCATCGGAACCTAGCCATTGTCATGACTTTCATAAATCAACTCTGCAATAATTTTTCGAAGATTTGACAAGGTTGAATCACCCTTGACCTCCCTGCACCACTAGATTGAACTACAACGCTCGATAAACTTAGCTAACACTTTTGGGAAATATCATCGTTTCGAACATTTTGAAGTGATATTTGGAGTCAATTTTAGTCTCACGAAGAAAGTACCGTAAGTGATTAATCCTTTCTGAATTCGAACTCTTGGTATAAATGAGACCCCAGTGCGGTATGAAAGACACAAAAGAATAAGGACCCATAGGTCTTCTCTCTAGGCTTATAGCCATTTTACTACAATTTTAGCCTAAATTGCGGTATACACTAACAAATCGAATGATAATATTTTGACCTGAAATTTTGCCTGCAGATAAGTCTACTTGTAACTAAAATGCTCTGAAATTTTCAGTTAAAAGAAATTTTTCCTACATGAGATATTGAATTTCTAAAAGGAAATGAGACTCTCGCAAGTTTCATGGAATGTGAGTGATTTTTGGAAATTCAATATCTCATGAAGAAAACAGTTCTTTCAGCTGAAAATTTCAAGACATTCTAGTTACAAGTAGACCTATGTATGGGCAAAATTTCGAGTCGAAATACCATCATCCGATTTGTTAGTGTATATCCGTGCTATTGGCTAAAACCCCAGTAAAATGGCTATAACTCTGAAGATCAGGCTTATGAACCCTTATCATTTTAGGGTTTACATCCTCACTATAGTCTACCTTATGCACAGAGTTCGAACTCAAAAACTATTAATCACTTGGGTTACTTCCTCGTTATCGCACTCTGAACGAAAGCATCATCCCACCTTCAATTTCATGATATTCGCTACAATTATCACTTCAATACTATCAACTCCTTGTGAGCGTCATTTCTCGATATTTTTTGGCATCTATAACCGCGCAGCCTCTCATTCGGAAGCCAAGTGATACAGTCATCTTCAGTAAGAATTTGTTGAGAAATCAACTTGGAATAACGAAGACTTGACTGATATATTCAACATTTCCATCAATCACTAGTAGTCTCTGATTTCAAGTCTGGTATCAATAACTCTAGCTAGTTTCGGTCAATTCGTCTGAAAGTTTTAGTAATATGCTTCCATGATCGTTAAACTTTTGATGGAATATTGAAAACTGTAGCTCCACATAGAGATGTGACAGAGCCATCGATAAAGTGTATTATAGAGCATCTGGCGATTTATGGAACTTGTGATACTGTGCAGTGAGTTTCAGATTCGAGAAACTTGGTATATATGACTACCATTGGAGACAAGAAGGTCATGAATAAATTATTTAAACACGAAATGAGAAGCAAACATCTTCTTTGATGGCATTTCACTTTCACTTCTTCAACAAATGACAAAAATTACATCAATATACATGAAACTCTACTCTACTAGTCATTTTAGATTTATTGATGACACAATATTCTTCTTGAGTCGAGAAAGCAAAATTTATGTGACATCGGCCATATGGCTTTAAAGCCAAATCCTATGTAGGAAAGAAGTAATTTTCACTTAGATATACTTTGTGTCGTCTGTGGAATAAGTCAAAGTGAAATGCCATCGAAGAAGGTATTTGCTTCCTGTTTCATTTTTGAATGATTTATTGGTGTCTTTTTTACCTCTAATGGTAGTTATATATACGAAGTTTCTTGAATCCGAAACTTACTCCATAGTATTATACAGGTCACAATTTGCAAGCTGTTCTATAATGCACTTTCTTGATGACTCTGTCGAATCTTTATGCGGAGCTACAGTTTTCAATATTCCATCAAAAGCTTGCACATCCATGGCAGCCCGTTAATAAAATTTTCAGATGAATTGATCGAAACTAGCTAGAGTTATTGATTCCAGGCTCAAGATCAGAGCCTACTAGTAATTGATGGAAACGTTGCATACTGCAGTGAGATCTTCGTTATTTCGAACTGATTTCTCAACAAATTATTCCTGATAATCACTGCATCACGGGGTTTCCAAATGAGAGACTATACCCTAATAGGTGCCAAAACATAACGAAACATGACGTTCACAAAGTGATGATAGTATTGAAGCGATAACTGTAGCAAACTTCATGGAGTTGCAGGTGAGATGATGCTTCCGATCAGAGCGCACTAAACCCAGCAGTTAACAAACATATCGACCGAAAATAATACCAAACGATGGAATTTCACATGAATGATAGCTAGTTTTAACGAAGTCTGAGTTTCGACAATTCCAACTTCTTTTAATTACCAGTGACAGTTCACATTAACAAAGTTCCCCAAATACATTAGTTATAGATATTATAGGATTATCAGAACCAGTGCGTGTCATAGGTATTTATTGGCCAAACAGCCAAAAACGCAATCTTGATGACATTCTTCCCTTTCTGATAGAAGGAACCATTCTCTCTGGTGATTTTAATGCAACAGTGAAAGAATGGAATAGTCCGTCGACGGATAAGAGAGGAGTATATGTGAAAGAATGGATGGATGAGAATAATCTCAGCTACATTCCATCGACATCACACTCGTCGAAACGCTCGTTGCGCNACGATGCCTGTAATTTTGACGCAAGCCGCGTCTCAAAAGCTAGCTTTATACGATAGTTATGCGCAAAACAAAATCGTTCAAACAATTTTGTCCAGTATTGTATATCTCATCTATATCATATATGTAAGACAGAATTGTTTTCTTGAATTACCTAATAAAGTTGTCCACGTGCACCAAGGACATACGTGAACATCGTACATATATACATACATATATATATATATATCTAGGACAGAAAGGAAAGAAAGAAATCGTAACAGCATCTATAACCGCGCAGTCTCTCATTCGGAAGCCAAGTGATACAGTCATCTTCAGTAAGAATTTGTTGAGAAATCAATTCGAAATAACGAAGACTTGACTGATATATTCAACATTTCCATCAATTAGTAGTAGGCTCTGATCTCAAGTCTGGTATCAATAACTCTAGCTAGTTTCGGTCAATTCGTCTGAAAGTTTTAGTAATATGTTTCCATGATCCTTAAATTTTCGATGGAATATTGAAAACTGTAGCTCCACATAGAAATGTGGCAGAGCCATCGAGAAAGTGTATTATAGAGCAGCTCGCGATTTGTGAAACTTGTGATACTGTGCAGTGAGTTTCAGATCCGAGAAACTTGGTATATATGACTACCATTGGAGATAAGAAGGCCGCGAATAAATCATTCAAACACGAAATGGGAAGCAAACATCTTCTTCGATGGTATTTCACTTTCACTTCTTCAACAAATGACAAAAAGTAAATCAATATACATGAAACTCGACTCTACTAGTCATTGTAGGTTTATTGATGCCACAATATTCTTCTTGAATCGATGAAGCAAAATTTATATGACATCAGTCATATGGCTTTAAAGTCAAATCCTATGTAGGAAAGAAGTAGTTTTCACTTAAATATACTTTGTGTCGTCTGTGGAATAAGTTAAAGTGAAATGCCATCGAAGAAGATATTTGCTTCCCGTTTCGTTTTTGAATGATTTATTGGAGTCTCTTTTTATCTCTAATGGTAGTTATATATACGAAGTTTCTTGAATCCGAAACTCACTACATAGTCTTGTAAATTTCACAATTTATAAGCTGTGCTATGACGAACTTTCTTGATGGCTCTGTCGCATCTTTATGTGGAGCTACAGTTTTCAATATTTTCTCAACAGCTTGGACACCCAAGGCAGCCCGTTACTAAAATTTTCAGATGAATTGATCGAAACTATCTAGAGTTATTGATACCAGACTTGAGATCAGGACCTACTAGTAATTGATGGAAATGTTGCATACTGCAGCGAGATCCTCGTTATTTCGAACTGATTTCTCAACAAATTCCTCCTGATGATCACTGCATCACGTGGATTCTAAATGACAGACTATGCGCTAATGGATGTCAAAACATAACGAGACATGACGTTCAAAGGTGATGATAGTATTGAAGCGATAACTGTAGCAAGCCTCATGGAGTTGCAGGTGCATTGATGCTTCCGATCAGAGTGCACTAAACCCAGGAGTTAACTCACATATCAACCCAAAAAACTTCCAAACGATGGCATTTCCAAAGAGTGGTAGCTAGTTTTAACGAAGTCTGAATTTC